CCAATCCAAACTTAAGTTAGCCCTTACTGGGTTTGGAGAGACTGCTCATCTCTAGCCCCTGGAACCCTGCCTTGGGAGAGTTGGACTTCATGGAGTAGAAGTATGTCTACATTGTTTCTGACTCCCCAGGAATGTCATTATTCGGTCTTACTCTGAAAATGCTGTCACATCCCTCTTTTGCTGTGTCAGCTCTGATTAGCACGCAATCAGCAAAAATTTCTGGGTTGGCAGCCTTTACTTGGAGTTGTGAAATGTCTATAACTCTAGTCTGTAATTCACACATTTCTGTTTGGCTTGTTCATACACAGGCATGAATTAAACCTATGCTTTTCCATTTCTCTCCACCCTGTCATATTCTGTAAGGAGGTAAAACAGTTCATCTCCAAACAGAGTTCACACACTCACCTAAGTGCTGATGCCTCACCTGATGGCATTTCTCAACCTCCGAGGCTTTCCTTCTTTGTACTTGGACAAAAGAATGCTTTAACCATAACCCACAGCCTTTCTTGTGAATTTCTCCAAAATAACTGGAGCCTGGTTAATAGCAAACCTCAGGAGCATGACTTTGAAACACTGTCAACATACTGCCACCAATTTCTCCATTTCCAGAAAAGACTGTAATTTTTTCTTTAGAAATCATGACTTTCTTGATTGGTTTAGACTGGTTTCCAGTAGTTCATTTACCAGGAAAGTTTCTGTTTGGTTTTAGACTTCCTTAATTTAGAGAATGCACATAATATTGAAACTGGCTATAGTATCCTACTTTGGAAAAGCATAATAAATACATACAAGTATATATGTCATGTATATAAATATATACAAATATATATGCAATGTATATAAATATATACAAATATATGTGTGTGTGTGTATCTTCTTTGATTTCCTTTTATCCATTACTACTACTATCCCTCAATAGGTCCTATCAGTTCTACTTCCAAATTATATTTTGAACATGGTCTACAGAAACAGCTTCTAAAGATTTTCCAGTCTCCATGAATGTAAGGCCCCTCTACATTCCATTCTTCATACTACAGCTAGAGTGGTATTTTTCGAACATTCATCAGGCAACTACCCTGCTCTAAACCATCTGGTGGTTTTTCATTGCAAGTAGAATCCAACCTCTCCCCTTAGTCCTCAAGGCTTTTCATGATATGATTTGACCCACCATCCCTCTTCCTCACTGTCTACCCACAATTTTCTTCTTTTCATCCTTAGAACTTGCCAAGCTTGTTCCACCCTTATAGTCTTTGTACCTGTCTCTTCCCCCGGCCAAATATGCTCTTTTGGCAGATCTTTCCATGGTTATCTCCATGGTTCATTTCTCAGATATCACCTCTTATACGTTTCCTGACCACCGTAACTACAGGAACCTCACACCTGTGTACTTTACCATATTGCTCTGACTTGTTTTCTTTTTTCTCTTATAGGACTTTTCAGTATCTGCAATTTTTATTGATTAATTTCTGTTTGGAACATATCTCTCTCAGAACAGAAAGATCTTGCTGTGCTTTCAAGGAAATGGTGGGGAAAGAAAAAAAACTACTTCTCATTCTTTTATGATGAGCTTACAAAAATAAATGGGTTAATTGGGTTCTTGATCCAGTTCACCTTAAGTATGGCTACCAAAGGAAATGATTCACAAGGTGACTATTTCCTTTGTGTGACACTCACTTATGTTATTAGTTCTAGGACATTAAATCAAGAAATATTTTCCAGGATCCCCTGAAAGAGTCTCTCTCAATTGTAAACTTTACCTTTTATTGGCATTCTGTTGATTTATTGAGATTCTCTAGAATTAAAACATTTACCACAGAGTGTTCCCCAACTCCCACAGCATTTATCCAGGCCATAACTACTTATGTCTGGGTTTATGAACTCATTATGGGCAGCGGAAATTGTTGGAGGCCTCATCTTTGTTTAAAAGTACCTGTGGCACAGCATCTGCCCATTGAAGGCAAGAGCTCTTCACCTGCCCAGCTCTTCCCCAGCTCAGGATAGGAAGGAGAGAGACACAGTGTGAGTGACAGAAGCATCTGATTATGGGTGTCAGATGAGGACAGCTGCTACTCTCTGGTCTCCCATACATGTTAATTACCCCTGTCATTTAAACCATTGTTTTGTGTAACCAGAACAAAGTATTCTATTCCACAAAGTCTGTTTGACATGAGACACATATAGCATGTGAGTCTATGACAAGGGTAGGGGCAACAAACGTGAGGGGCTAGATGAGAACAGAGGAAGAGAAATGAGCATTGCATAGGGCAGTGGTTTACAACCCTACACGATCAAAAATAGAACCTGGAGACAAATCTGGATATTGTCTTTATACATAATAAAATACATTTTAAAATATTCAGTGCAAACAAAGCAGTTTGTCCCTGTCTTTTGTTTTGAGTCTCTTTAGTATATGCTGCTTTTGAAGATCAAGAACATTTACTTAAAATTGCTCCTTCACCAGGAATTTGCTTACATCTCTTCAGGTCCACTTGTAAGACCTTGAAATCAGTCCTCCTGAGATCAGTACAAATGAGGATCATCTTTCCTGCTTTAGAAGCAAAAGTGGTGAGTGGGGTAGACAGAGGCAGAAGGAAGGGTGGTGTTGATAAATTAGCCAAATTAGATGGAAGAAAGGGAGTTACAGCTGTACTTGCAAAGAACTCTGGGCTCATTTTTTCCTTAAATATTAAATCACTAGTTTTCAAAACCTCAGTGTGAACATGACTCACCTGAGGACAATGTTAAAATGTTGACCCCCAAGACCCTGCCCCCAGGTTTGGATCCCAGGCAGAACCCTAGAATCTGTATTTTAAACATTAACCCCAGGTCGAGTGTAATGCAAGTAACCGTCAGAGACACTAGGAGAAACAGCACATTGGCAATGATGAATTTACATGTCTAAAAATGAATAGAGTAGGTGTTATATGAATGGGAAGTGGTGGTATTCAAGATGACCAGAGTATCCAGCTCTTCAGCCCTGGCTCCCCACTGCTCTTCTCCTATCTCAGCACTTCTCCATCATTTCGTCCAAATAAAATAATTCACACAGTTTCAGGACTTATGCCCCCACTCATTAGCCATCTGTTTTGCTTTACACATTTTTTTGAGGTGATAAAATTACTCTTTTTCTAAACACAGCCTGTTTTTCAATCTCCAGATGGTTGATCAATTGTATGGGAAAATGAATGGCTGAACGGTAGAAACAGGTGGGAAAGATGAACAAAAACACAAATCCTCACATTACTAATATGCAAATCACTGAGCAGCAAGTTGAGCAAATACCCTCAATTCCCATCAACAACTTTAGAGAAAGGCAAATTCCATTTGCCTCACTGTTGATCATTTAGGTCGACCCTGAACACTGCTTTCATAAAACAAACAAAAACAAAACACCCATCCCCAGTTCAAAAAATTATTCATAGATCATCCAGTCCATCTAGAAGGATATGATTTAATCCTGGCTACTTAGTAAATTATTTGCCCAAGTTAGCTCAGCTAGTTAGTGGTAGATGGCTCTAAAGCCAGTTTTCTTTTTTTTGTTTTGTTTTGGTTTTGTTTTGTTTTTATTTTTATTATTATTATTATTATTATTATTATTTTTTTTTTTTTTTTTTTTTTTTTTTTTTTTTGCAGACCTCAAGAGTCATGATGAACTAGCAGAACATGAAGTTTATGCCCTGGGTTTATTTAGAAAAATAAAACGTTAAATGAAAATATCAGAGGGCATTGCAGATAGTAGGTCTAAGTATTTTTTCATGAAACTTGTTTGTACATGTGTGTGTCATACACAGACTATACATATGCAGTACCTGTAAACTATATTGCCGCATAATGTCTATATTTTCCTAGAGGACACAATCACCAAAGTTGGGAAGTCACCCAACTTTGGGAACTTTGGGAAGTCACCCAAACTCACAGTCACCAAAATTGCTCTATTCTACTATGTGACCTCAAAAGAGATTTGAAAGAAGGAGCATCTGAGCTGGGTCCAAACCCTATTGCAATTTTATTGAGGCCAAGGAGAACTCCACACTCCTGCCAAATCAAGGCACTGTCAGCCTCAATAATTTCCAAGATAAAAATAAAAATCTGTGATATGATCAGAATGTGAAAATTCTTATTTGGGAAGCAAATGTTATAACCAATGCAAGGGCCATTTCAATATTCATTCATTATGCAGTATTTTGAACTGCAGTTGAAATGAATAAGAAGGAAAGGCAAACAATGAAGAGTTCAATTTCTTAATTTAGAAAAAGATTTTTAAAAAAAGGAAAAGAAAAGGGAGCACACAGGCATGGTGGCTCAAGCCTGTAATACCAGCACTTTTGTGGATCACTTGAGGTCAGGAGTTCGAGAAAAGGGAGCACCTCAAAGTTCAGCGGTGGATAATACTTAAATAAATTATGACACCATTGTCTGTCATCTTGGGCCCATTCACTAACTCAAAGCTTTCAAAAGGGCTTTCTTAACCCTCACCTAGAATAGGCTTCCCCAGCCTGAATCCCTAGGGTGGCAGAATAGCAGGGACCCTGAACATTCTTAAAAGATGTAGCTCAGGGTGGGAAGTTGTTTTAATGACAAAGCAAATGAAGTTTCATTATGTCGAGGAACTTTGAGGAAGTCACAGAATCCACGATTTAAAAATATATTTCCCATTATACACCCATACACACACACACACACACACACACACACACACACACCCCTACTTTCTAGAATAAAAACCAAAGCCATATGGGTCTGCTGTTGACTTTCTATACGTCGTAGAGTTATATCAAGTTAGGTCAAGATGTTCAGTCACCTTGAAGACGCTTTTATCAGAAAGGGGGAAACCTTTCTGATAAAGGTTAAGGGGTAACCTTAAGCTGTCACCCCTCTGAAGGTAAAATCAAGGTGCGTTCAGATGTTGGCTTGTTGTAAATTGCTGTTTATATTAATAACATACCAAATGTGGATTTGTTTTAATCTTCGGAACTCTTGCCGGTGAAAACCTCATTTACAAGAAAACTGGACTGATAGGTTTCACTTTCTGTTTCATTTCTATACATAGCTTTATTCCTAGGACACCAACACCACTCGCTACCCAAACTGAAAGCTTCCCCGATTCCGCCGAAGGTCAGGAAAGTCCAATGCCCGGCAAACTGGATTTGCTGCCTTGCGCAGAGGTGGGCGGGACCCCGCCTCCGGGCCGGGCGCCAAGTTGAGCAGCTGGCAAGCCTCGCGCAGCCCCAGTCCTGAAGCCACAGTCCTGCGCTGCTTCCTGAGGCTCCTCACCAGTCCTGCGCAGCTTCCCGAGGCTCCGCACCAGCCGCGCTTCTCTCTGCCTGCAGGTAGGGAGCGTTGTTCCTCCGCAGGTGCCCACGGCCCAGCATCTCTGGCTAACTCGCTGGGCACCTTAGGACGGAGGATCTCTACACCCTTTCTTTGGGATGGAGAGAGGAGGAGGGAAAGGGAACGCGATGATCTAGGGGGCAGTAGAGCCAATTACTTGTTGGGGTTAATAAGAACAGGCAATGCATCTGGGCTTCCTCCAGGCGCAATTCAGTTTTGCTCTAAAAATAATTTATACCTCTAAAAATAAATAAGGTGGGTAGTATAGGATAGGTAGTCATTCTTATGCGACCGTGTGTTCAGAATATAGCTCTGTGCTAGGCTGGAGGTCTGGACACGGGTCCTAGTCCACCGTCAGCTGCTTGCTAGTAATATGACTTGTGTAAGTCATCCCAGCTGCAGCATATAAGTAAGTCTCTTCCTGCGCTAAGCAGGTCCAGGACCCCTGAACGGAATTTATTGGCTCTGTCCATTCTGAGAACCCACAGGAGTCCTACAAGAGGAATGGAGGACCCTAAGAATAAAAATAGTATAATAAAACATTTCTTAGACACGTTGACCTTGGCCTATGTCAAAGTTCAGTCTGGGTTTGTCTTATAACACAAGGAGTAAAAGTGCCATTGTTCTCTTTTTTTAATACTTGAAAAAAAATTTACTGTAGATGCTTTTCTATTAATTAAATAACCTTCTAAAAAATGTTTTTAGTGCTGCATTCGATTAGGTTGGATAACTAAATGAAATTAATTCCTCACTGTTGGGTATAAAGGTTATTTACAGTGGTTCTGTCTTAGCCATTCACTGAACATCATTGCAGATATATCTATGGAATATTGCTGATTGTTTCTGTCAATAAACTTAGAAGTGTAACTACTTAGTCAAAGAGACTGAATATTTTAAAGGCCTTTTGAAGAAAACTGAAAATGCTTTCCAGAAAGGATGTATCAGTTGACAATGATGGTCGTGAACAGTATTTAAGGAGAACTATGATACTCTGAAGAAAAACTTAGCCTTTCTCAGTAGAAGCAGGTAGGCAGAGGCCACATGACAGCAGTTAGAGTGTGGTCTTCAAGGAAGTCACAGAAATACTGTGGGGAATTGAAACCCCACGTGGAAAATGCACAAGAGTGTCTCAGTGTGACTGAGAAGGAGGTTGGGCTTGGGGTTTAACTTAAGAATATATATTTTTTTTCTTTTGTGGAGATAGGGCTTTTGTTATGTTACCCAGGCTGGTCTCGAACTCCTAGCCTCAGGCGATCCTCCCGCCTCAGGCGATCCTCCCGCCTCAGGCTCCAGAAGTCCTAGGGTTACTGGCCAGAGCCACCATGCAGGCCTCTTGCTCCTACTTTTGAGAAAGGAAGCTTAACTTTTTTGTTTGTTTGTTTGTTTTTGTTTTTTGTTTTTTTTGGAGACGAGTCTCACTCTGTTGCCCAAGCTGGAGTGCAGTGGTGCAATCTCAGCTCATGGCAACCTCTGCCTCCTGGGTTCAAGTGATTCTCCTGCCTCAGCCTCCTGAGTAGCTGGGACTACAGGCACCCACCACCACGCCTGGCTAATTTTTGTATTTTTAGTAGAGATGGGGTTTCACCATATTGGCCAGGCTGATCTCGAACTCCTGACTCAGGTGATCCACCTGCCTCGGCCTCCCAAAGTGCTGGGATTACAGGCGTGAGCCACCACCGCACCTGGCCACTTGACTTTTTCTCTATCTCTTCCTTCTACCCATCCTACCCTTGGAAGATAGAGAAGTAATATCAGTTCCATCGTGTTATACTGGGCTTCCCCCAGGGACAAACCCACTTCCCCAACCTGAATGAGCCATCACTTCTTCCCCAGTTTACATTTCATTGCTCTTTGAATGTCTCTGTTCGGATATGGGAATTCACATATGGTCATAATTCTTACCTGAAGAAGACGTCAGTCTTCTTCTCTTAGACCAACTGCCCTGATGTGAGGTTTAGAGGTTAAAGAACATGTATGTATTTACATGATCTTTGTATTCTGCCTTTTCGTCCCTCACTAATGACAGCTGAACCCCAAGGAAATGGAGCTGTGGAGGAGAGGGTTTGATGAGAGAGTAGGTAAATATTGGATCTAATCCATCACCTTCCAGGAAACCTCCATTACTTCTAAAAATTTCAACTAAATTCGTTAAAGGACAAGAACTCCACCAGAGTAGGCCATAAACATTGGCAAAATTAGTTGTAATCTATGACTAGATTTAATGTCCCTTTGTTTTATTCACATATGGTTATAATGCTTTGCTTGGAATTAGGGGTATTTTAAGTTTTCTTCTGCCTAGTAAGTGTATTTGTGCTTATAATACAATAATTATAAAATATCACATTAATATTTATAACTGTACAGTTAATTCTGACCCAAGGACAAGATAGTCCGGTAGATGCTGCAGCCCGATTTTGTATCTAACCCTGGCAAGAGGATGATGACTCATGTTATTTCACTTACCCTTTTTATCTTTTAACATGAAGGGCTCATATAGGTTGATAAGAAACCAGTGATATAAACAGACCAAAAAATGGTCAGATCTTTCACATTAGCAAAAAAAAATATTTTTTAAACAATACCCAATTCTGGGTGAAAATACAATGGAACAGTACCAAGTATCAACATGTGTCAAGAACCAGAAAAATGTTCTTTTTCTTTGATCAGCAACACTATTTGAGGAAATCTATCCTCAGGGCCTAGCCTGAAATATTTGTTCAGTAGGCACTGAACAAATATTTGCTGAACACACAAATACTTATGATTTTTTAAAATTGGCAACAATCCGATACATAACAATAGAGGAATTAAATATTATGGAACTGTTAAATAAGATGCTTACAAATATCATGCAGTAAGATGGGCAATATTTATATCATAAGCTTAAATGAAACAAATGGGTATTAAAGGTATGGTAAGGTTATAAATTACTTTTTAAAAGATTAAAGGGAAAAGACTGAAAGATATATACTGAAATGCTCACAGGGGTGACAAGGTTCCCCAGCCTTGGCACTATTGACATTGTAGGCTGTATGTCTTTGCTGTGGGAGGCTGGCCTGTGCACTGCAGGATGTTTGGCAGCACTCTTGGTTTCTACCCCTAGATAGCAGTAGCGACCCTCCCTCAACCAGCCCAATTTTGACAACCAAAAATGTTTCCAGGCATCACCAGATTCTCCCTGGGTGACAGTGATGAAACAGTAGGTGATTTTCCCCTTCTTTTCTCATTTTCTGTAATTTTATCACATTACTTTAATAATAAGGAAAAAACATAAAAAATAGATGAATTTATTATTCTACCTCAGTTTGGACGTTTGGACTCCATTTTGGGGTTCTTTCCATTATATCACTTGGTCTGCTAAACATTCTATGGTTTGGCAAGGTGAAATGATTCATGAAATTTTGTTTTTATTTTTTACCTGATACTAAAAGTAAAACATTCATTCACTTGAAAATTTGGACACAGAACACCAAAAAAAAAAAAAAATCCATAATCTCATCTCTCTTTTTCTGTCTTTTCCTTCCTTTTTTCCCTTTAAAAACAATAAAGAGTGAAAACCTACCTGTTCTCCCTCCAATTTAATTCCTAAATATAATCACTGTTAACATCTTGGATATTTCCTGTGTCTAAACACACATACTCACTTTTTCTTTTTTTTAGCAAAAGTGGATTTCTGCTACATGTAGTGTTCTGCAACTTCCTATATGTTTACAAAATCAATACATTTATATATGCTTAATTCAGTCCTTAATGGTATTATATTTTGTGAATATAACAAAATTTATTTAACCACTTAGACAATCTAGGATATTCTCAGTTTGCTGTTATGAGCAATGCTCTTCCTTTACATATACATATATATGTGTGTGTGTGTGTATGTGTGTGTGTGTGTTTGTTTGTTTTAGTAGGATAGATTTCTAGGAGAGGGCGAAATGTCATATGACATCCACATTTACAATTGTAATAGGAAGTATCAAAGTGCCCCCTAAAAAAAAAAAATTCCTCCCATTAGTGGGTGAGAAAGCCTATTTGTTCACATCTTCACAAACACTAAATACTAGAAATATTTACAATTGTGTTCAAGCTAATAAGTGAAAAATGGTATTTCATATCTTATAATTTTTATTGTGAGATTGAACATCTTTCCTATGTTTACATGTCACCTGTATTTCTTATTCTCTGAACTATACATTATGACCTTTCACTTATTTTCCTCATGGGTTATGTGTAGTTTGTGTAGTTGTCTTATTGATTGTTAGGAGCTATTTATATATTAGGAACATTAGTCTCCTGTTAATGTTAATGTGGCATTGATTAGTTGATCATTTGTGAGTTCATGTCTGTATACAAAGATTAGAGAGGCACTAAGAGGGAAAACTTACCTCTTTCTTATCAAAGTTTGTAAATATATGTATAACAGAAGAGAGAGAAAACATTAATAAATGCTGAAATAGAGTATAAATCTTTTACTCCACTACTTCAGCTACAAAAGGAGAGTGACTTTTCTTTCATGCTGACTTCCATATTCCCCATGCCTAAAATAGTGCCTAGCACAGAAGAGGTGCTCAATCAGTGTTTGCTAAATGAAAGAATTAGTAACATTTCAAGCAGGATGACTAAATGAAGAATAGAATCTAGGCAGATACTCTGGAAGAGTGACTGTGAGTCATTCATGGTCTTGGTATGAATTAGTCAAATCCAGCTTTCTCCCCTTCCCACTCCCCACTGTTAGTAGAATAATCTGTTTATTGAGAGAACAGATTTATAATTTAGAATAAGTAAGAGGGGCAGAAGAGAAGATTTTGAAGGATGGCACCTGAAGGAGGACTAGCATGGCTGAGATAGTGAAGTGGAAGTCTTGAAAAGCTAAAGGGTAAGATGAAAGTATTTAGCCGTAGGGGGAAAAAGCATTGACAGGTTGGAAATGTAAAAGTCAGATTATCCTTGCTTTGACATTTTGTACAGGGCAGGTTCTACTAGGTATGTTACAATGCAGAAAAAACATGAAATAGTTGAGAGGAATTTGGTGAAATATTATCTTCTTGGCTTCTTTTGAGTGAGCAGATTTTTTTCAGGGCCTGTAACTATAATAAATTTGAAACTTCTCATCTTTTAGTAACTTTTTTCACTTAAGTTTATGTGGCTATGGGCAATGGAATGAAGGTATTGAACTTCCAATTCTCTGTTGGGTTTCCACAATTACAAGTCAATCATAACTGGTTATTAGAAGACTATTTCAATTAGAACCACCAAGTCCCATAATGTCATATTGTGTGTTTAATTATTAAGTAAAGCAGTCTTCTTTTTGTGTTTTCCATAATTAGCACATTCCAGAAAGATGAGGATATTTGCTGTCTTTATATTCACGATCTACTGGCATTTGCTGAATGGTAAGACACCAAATCCTTCCATTAGGTTCTATATTTTAAATATTTTAACCATGAGTTTAAAACTAAAATGATAATTTAAAATGCATGCAATTTTCTTATAGAGAGAATATTCTCTTCTTTCTTCTACTTTACACAATGACAAAGTCTTTCTTCTGCTTTACACAATGATGAAGTTCCCTGTGTCATTGTGTAAAAATATAGAGAATATAGACAAATTGAAAGACACAAAATAATCTATTACCCATTTCCCAGGGTTAACTACTGAAAATATCTGGGGAAATGGCCTGTATGTATATATTTATTTGTTTGTTTTCAACAAGGCCAAGATCTTTCTATCTTTCAATCTTGGTTGCCCTGTGACATGCCTTTCCTGATGAGGATACTCTAAGGAAGAATTGTAGGATACATGGAAAATGTCAGGGTAACACAGTAATGGCACCCACCTGTGGATTTTCCTGAACTCCATACCAATGTACTTCTTGCCAGAAAACTGATCAAAAGTTTAGGGAAGTAAAAAGACATGTTAGAATCTACCATTCCCTCTATGTAGGAAGCAAATAGGTGTCCATTCAAAGGACATTCTGGGGATGTCTACATGAAACCAAGTCTCCTGGTTGTAAGTACTCCATCTCCATATAATATTTCAACAGTAATATATGTTTATAAATTGTGGGGGCAACTTGTTTAGCTAATTTTATTATTCTGTTATTGGGACACTATGTCTCGGCATGAGATATAGTGTCCCAAAACGTATTTCAAGCCCATTGGATAAAATATGTATTTAGCAAGTTCTTAAATATAATGATAACATAACTGACCAGATAAAGTGATTTTTAAATGCTGTGCCAACTTTATAAATGTTTTGAGGAATTTTCCCTTTTCTGAAGGTTATTCTTCTTTCTTTTTAGCATTTACTGTCACAGTTCCCAAGGACCTATATGTGGTAGAGTATGGCAGCAATATGACAATTGAATGCAAATTCCCAGTAGAAAAACAATTAGACCTGGCTTCACTAATTGTCTATTGGGAAATGGAGGATAAGAACATTATTCAATTTGTGCATGGAGAGGAAGACTTGAAGGTTCAGCATACTAACTACAGACAGAGGGCCCAGCTGTTGAAGGACCAGCTCTCCCTGGGAAATGCTGCACTTCAGATCACAGATGTGAAATTGCAGGATGCAGGGGTTTACCGCTGCATGATCAGCTATGGTGGTGCCGACTACAAGCGGATTACTGTGAAAGTCAATGGTAAGAATTATTATAGATGAGAGGCCTGATCTTTATTGAAAACATATTCTAAGTGTTGAAGACTTTTCATTCTTGTAAGTCCATACTTATTTTCAAACAGAATAGCATAGTCTGTTCATTCATTCATTCAGTTCATGAATTCATTCACATAAGTCTCCAATTAGCATTTCTTGAGCACCTATGTGATAGTCACTGGAAATCCAGAGACAACACAGAGCCATGTTCTACGGTATGTACAGTTTTCCAAAAATAATTCCTAGTCTTTACTTTTTTATTACAAATGTAATACATACATTTGCAAATAATTCAGATACTATGGAAGAGATCAAATGAATTGCAAAAGTGTCCCTCCTCCCTTCACCACTATCTCCCATGAGATAACCAAGACACTCCAAGAGAGTAACCATTATTTGTGTGTCCCTCCAGAAACTTTTTTATTCAACTACTATTTTTTCATTTTATTAGGTCTGTCAGTTTTCCTTTTTTGAGCCTCTCTATATCAAATGCTAATAAATATATTCAGAACAAAGGCTCACATTAAAAAAGACTTGAAGTCTCCCTATGAAGACAAAAAATAATCATATTAAGTGTAAAAGAACTTATTCTTCCAGTACAGTATAAACTATACTCACTGGGCATATATTCATCTTGAAAATCTATACTAATGTTGTCTTGGGGAATTGAAGAGGAACTAGGAGTATCAATTCCTGGGAACTGACCCACAGTTATGTCATCAGGTCGCTTGAGTTCGAAGTTTTGTGTTGGCACTAGCTAAGTAAAGGAAAACACCTCTGCTTTCATTGTTGAATTTCATAGAATTGAGAGCTGAAAGGATCCCAGGCAGGAGCAACTAATCCAAACTCCCACAAAGAACAAAAATCCCCCAGAGGATCTCTGTTCATATATTTCCTGCAGTGGCATCCCTGTCATATCCCACAATGGCATCCCTGCCATTTGGACTCCCCTTCCATATCCTGTTGAAATTACTCCCTAATAGTAAGCTGAAATCTGCCCCTCTAGTTGTAGTTTTGGAATTATTTCATTTCCATGATGATCTTTTAATATTTGACTAGAATTAAATCATCTCCCCTTGGTATTTCCATTCCTGGACTAACTACCATCAATCTGAGGGCTAACAATACAAGTAGAAAAAGTCTACACTTGTCATTGATCACTGATTAATGATTAATCAATGATCACTGATAATTATAAACTCAAAAACAAAATCATGTGGGGATTAAGAGAAATTAAGTTTTATGTTGTATTTCTGGTCCCTGATTCTGGCTCAAATAATGCTACTATTGTCAAGAAGATATCACTTGTAAAGTAGATTTAATTTTCATTATATTTTACCATGTGCTTCTCCATTCATGGCATTTCTTGAGATGTTGTGGTTTATACGTTCAGTTTTTCTCCAGTCCATCAGCAAATATCAGGCATCTACTGTGTTCCAAAATATTAAAGAAATCATCATGACTTAGCCTCATCAACGGCATTGCTAGATCTGGGATGGAAAAGAAGAGTATAATCCTGGCAGTCAGGAAGAAGGCCGCATAAAGTATAAGTTTCTCCTTCCAAAGAAGATCTCTCATCAGCTTGTAGGGAGTGTATAGGGAGGGGACAGCTGTCCTCGTAGTAGCAAAGGGTTTTATTCAGGTCATCTGGGCTCCATAATATCCCTTGTGTATCTGCAGTCTCCTTTGCCATGGATCAACACAATAGGAAATCTTCCGGCACTGATGGTTTTTCCAAGGGGGAGTTCTTCAGGGAGCAAAGCAAATGACCAACCAGGTTTGAGGACCTGATTTGTTTGACAATTCCATTTTGTATCTTAAATTAGTTAATTTGCATTCTAGTCCCAATCCATCTTGTCATTTGCAGACAGTGGTTTTGGGGTTGAGTTGAGCTATACCAAAAGTCTGAACCTTCTGCACTTAGAACAAGGAAGGCAACTACCAAGCTTCACTTGCACTGAGGCAGTGTCTCCAATGGAAATGAGATAGCTGGCTTGCAGGAGCTTTCCAACTCAGGGAAGTAGAACTCCTGAGTCACCTCCATATGCAAATGATTTCACAGTAATGCTGTTGAACTTCACTTCCCATCACAGCAAATGTGTGGTAACATAGCTTTGCCACAGGAGTTTACTCACCATGGGATTTTAAAGGTGAACCATTTCAAAACTGAAATTTGAAAGAATTTAGTTTTGGATTCACTCAATTATCATGATCACTTTGGGTGTTATTGCACCTTTCATGTTTGTGAGTTTAAATACCAGACTCTCAGGCCTCTAACTTTCAATTAAAAGTGTTTTTCTTTAATCACTGAACCTAATAGCAGGGAAAACGAAATGTTCATTCAGACTTTCAGGACCTTCAATGAGATGAGGCAGCTGAAAGATCAAAGTGTTGCATAGTTATCTCAGTAAAGCTATTTGGATCGTATGGACCAGATCAACTGCTGTCATTCCCCACCAACCCCATCTTTCCCCAAAATTCCCAGCCCTGTTTAAGTGTTCTCTGTAGCATTTATCTCTATCTAGTATATTGTGTAGCATATCATATCATACTTTTCTATTTTGTTTGTTGTCTCTCTCCTCCTAGAATATAAACTCCACAAGCACAGAGATTTGGGTCTGTTTTTTAATATTGTTGTATCCCCAGGGCTTGACATACAGCAGAGTGGTAGTATGACAAAAGCACACAAAAAATATTTGTTGAGTCAATGAATGAATGATTTCCTCAAATAGGATTAGCCTAAAATTTTGGCAACATGAACAGACTTGGATATATGAAAATTTATTTCCAAAACTGTTCATCAGGAACTGTTAGCACCTTCTAAAGGGTACACTGAAGCAGCAGTAGTAAAAGGAGAAGGAGGAGGAGCAGCTCTGCTACTACTACTATCGAGTACTACTACAATTAGCACTTGCTTATTCTGTGTGTTAGGTCCTGTACTGAACATTCTGTCTAAATTAGTTCATTTCCTCCTGGAAATGACTCTGTGGGGTAGGTGCTTCATCATGTAAGATGAGTATTTTTCACACTTCACTGTCTCTGAAATCTGAGTGTGTCTTTCAATGATGGAATCTTTGATTTCATGATAAGTGGTATTATTCCCATTTTAAGGATGAGGAAACTGAGGTCCAAAGAAATTAAGTAATTTGCCCAAATTCACCCAGCCTCGTAAATGATAAAGCTAGTTCTAAATCCAAGCAGATTGGCTCTGAAGTCTGGGCCCTTAATAACCACTTATTGCCTGTATTTGCACCTCTGGTGTATGTATCAAGTTACATATTGGCTTCAAAACTATCATGACCTTTTCTTGATTTTGATTGTTCAACGTTAGTATAGTGTTCTAGATCTAGTAAACCAGGGGTCTGCAAAAAATTTTGATTACTCACCTCATCTGTAAAATATTTTAAACTTGTGTGTCTGTGCACGCACATTTGTATGTAATTATAAAAAATTTACTATTAATATATAGGTTGTACCGTAAGAAATTGCCATTTTTGAAGAGCAAAAAAGGTTGAATATTACCAGTTTCATCTGGTTCAACCTAATAGACATTTGTACAAAAACAGACATTTTAAGAGGATGAAATAAAAATTTAATAAACAATATTTTCAATTTTTACTAATTGTGATGCTTCACTATTGTTAGCTAATATATCGAGGCATAATATACCTTAGGGTGGAATTTATCATTAACAAAGGTGGATGGTGTCAATAATCTTGAGGTTTGTGTTTTTTTATATAACACTGTGAGGTCTAATTAAGTACTTAATTATTTACAACCTCATACAGTGGCCAATAAGAAGTGTCACTTCTGCTGTTTCCTCTGGGTTGTGCTTGAATTATTAGTATTATCTTCAATCCTCAGTTTCTTTGTGGAAAACTTTTTAATTAGTTGTTTAATTTTGTAAGATGGTTAGTTTAGTCAAAATTAGATAAGAGAATCTGAAAATCCATAATTACCCCAAAGCAACCCACTCATAAGAACTATTATTTTTGTGTTTTGAAATCATAATTTTATTGATTTCCAGTGTTTCCACTGGTAGTGGTTTCATTGATGTAGGAGTATCAAAACATCACTCATTATTTATTTCAGTTTTGTTTGATCCTAGCTGTTTTGTGTTAACTCTGAAGAAATTACATCACAGATCTATTGTTGTCCTTGGTAAAGGAATGGAGTGTTAAAGCTCTAGATCATTAGTGGTTACGCTGTAGTATTAGGAGTAAAAAAAAGATTATACCAACAAAATAAGAACATGTTAATGTACTTGTAATAGATAAACATGAATAAAGCTCTTATGCTATATAGATGCACTGAACAATCTACTAGAATTGTCAGCAAACTGGGTATCTTAATCCTAAAAGGGTCGCAAACCAATGATCTAAAATTGAATCAAACTTTCTTCCTTGAGCATAATTATTTAAGTGATTTATTAAAATAGCCAGCATTTAAAAGCTTAAAATATAAGTATCATAATGTAGTATCCTAGATAGGATCCCAGAACAGAAAAGGGATATTAGGGAAAAACTGGAGGAATGGAATAAATTATGCAGTTTAGTTATTAATAATGTACTAATGTCCTTAGTTATGACCATTGTACCATGGTAAAGTAAGATACTAACAATAGAGGAAATTGGGTAAGGGGTATATGTAACTCTATACTATCTTTGCAATTTTTTTGTAAATTTAAAACTTCTAAAATAAAGAACAAATTTAAACATTAAAAAGTATCACCATGTACATGTATCACTGTTTACAGATGAAACAGTATGTATTTTTATATCTAATTTCTGATCATTGGCTTCAAATCAGAAAAGTGAATGACACATCAAGATCAGGTTTTCTGTTTACTAAATAAAGTCTAAGAAAACAAAGCATACCAGCTGGAGAGATTCATGTTTATAAAGACAGATTTATAACAACAAAAATAAAATACCCAAGAATAAATTTAAGAAGAAATGGGGCACTATGTAAAAAGTATAGCACTTTACTGAGAAACATATGTAAACCTGAACACATGGAGAGAGATATTTTATATTTGAATAGAAAGACTGCTGGTTTAAAGATAATTCTCTTCAAATTTTTTTTTGTAGAAATTTAAGAGGTACAAGAGCAGTTTTGTCACACAGATATATTACATAGTGGTGAAGTCTGGGGTTTTAGTGTAAATTAATCTTTACATTTTGTTTGAGCCCAATAAATGTACTGACATGATTTTTATAGCAAGATAGTCATTCCTATTAACCCAAACTTGTCCCAACTTTGAACTGAACTGAGGCAGAGCTAGCAGGTGTTCCCCACTGCTGAGGCATCTGAACATTAAGCGTATCCCTCTGAGAACCAGCCCGCATTGATCCTCTTTCTAAAGTAGACAGCATCAAGCTATATATCTAGTTCTGTGCTCAGCAAAAGCCCTGACTTCTTTTTGCTTATGTCCTAGCTCCATACAACAAAATCAACCAGAGAATTTTGGTTGTGGATCCAGTCACCTCTGAACATGAACTAACATGTCAGGCTGAGGGCTACCCCAAGGCTGAAGTCATTTGGACAAGCAGTGACCATCAAGTCCTGAGTGGTAAGACCACCACCACCGATTCCAAGAGAGAGGAGAAGCTTTTCAATGTGACCAGCACACTGAGAGTCAACACAACAGCTAATGAGATTTTCTACTGCATTTTTAGGAGATTAGATCCTGAGGAAAACCATACAGCTGAATTGGTCATCCCAGGTAATATTCTGAATGTGTCCATTAAAATATGTCTAACACTGTCCCCTAGCACCTAGCATGATGTCTGCCTATCATAGTCATTCAGTGTTTGTTGAATAAATGAATTAATGAATAACATTATATTTATAAAATGTATCCTAATTCCTCACTTCCATTCATCCAAATCATATTGTTACTTAATAAACATTCACCAGATATTTATTGAATATGCCTTTTGTTCCATGCATTGTAGTGCTCATTTGACACACATAGAATAATAAAATACACGTTCACACTCTTCAGGAAACAGATAAAAAAACAAACGAACAAACAAAAAACAGGCAATCCAATACCATGTGGGAAATGCTTTCATACCATGTGGGAAACCTGGGGGAATACCTGAGAGGAATACTCAATTCAGGCCATGTTTCAGGAATCCAAATCCTGGCACATCAGAGCCTCCTCCTCCTTTCTAGGGTTTCTGTGGCAGGAAATAAATGGAACGTATTTTTCTATCTTATGCCAAACAGGAGGGACCCCTTCTCCCCTGTGCCTCTCCCAAGGTAGTCTACAATATTTCAACGCTAGCAGTCTGTTTAGTGCACAGGACATGAGGCTGTGTATCCCTGGGCAAATTGCTAGATTTCTGTGTGCTTCACTTTCTCTGTAAGATTATAACCTACTGAGCAAGGTTATTGTGGGGGTCAAATTAGCAACAGTGTATGAAAATGATTTGAGACCATTGCCTGCACAAATTCAACTATTTTTTTTTTAAATCTCACTACTCTATAGAAGTAGGTAGGGTGGGAGACAGAGTCTGATGGGAGACTCAGAATGTGAAAGAAAGTGAGGTGAGTGAGCATGATATTTAATATAAACACAAAGATATTCTGAGAAGAGCTTCTCACTTCCCCTGCCCCCAATAGATGTTGACAAGAAAATGCCATGTACTTCAGCAAAAACAGCTGAAAAATTAGACAGAAAAGTCAATCAATAGGAAAAGATAATCCAGGATGGTCTTGTGAACAGAAAGAGGGAAAAAAAAGTTTAGAAAATGATGGGGATGCTCTTACTGGGGTATGAGTCCTCAGGTATTCAACTGGCTTTCAGTAAAAGCTAGACTAGTGGGTTCCTGCCATTTAAAAGCTGTTTTATGACAACTTACTTGTTGGGTGGCCTACAGTAACTCACTTAACTGTGCTGAGTCTGTTTCCTCATCTGTAAATTGGGGATTTTTTTAAATAACTGGCATGCCTAACTCATAAAGTTGTTCTGAAACTGAAATAAAACATATATGAACAGGCATTGTAAACTGTAAGTTATGGAAAAAGCTGGCTGTTGTTGTGTCTTTAAAGCTTCACCTGGGTAGTTAGAGATGGATCATGGGTCTCAGTGGAGAGCTGAGCCAGGCAGGAGCTGACTAAGGGTGAGAGGTGGGAGTTAGCAATCTCTGAACATCTGTGTGCCATGGGACCCCTTTTCCTCCTGCATAGTACCCCAGACAAGGAGCCTAGTAAGAGATACTAATGACTTGTTGTCCAGAGATGTTCAAACTGCAGAGAAAGATAAGACAACAAGCATTGGCCTCCAATCATGATGACAGATAGGAGGAGGTGGGAGCTCCTTAGCAGTGCTGGTTGGTTTTCCATGTTCTACTGTGGGCCATCTCTGCCATGTACTGTAGGCTACTAACTTCTATATTAAAAAATGCAAGAGGGGCCGGGAGTGGAGACTTATGCCTGTAATCTCAGCACTTTGGGAGGCCAAGGTGGGCAGATCACTTGAGGTCAGGAGTTTGTAACCAGCCTGGCCAACATGGTGAATCTCTGCCTCTACTAAAAATACAAAAATTAGCCAGATGTGGTGGCGTGCACCCATAATCCCAGCTACTCGGGAGGCTGAGGCACGAGAATTGCTTGAACCTGGGAGGCGGAGGTTGCAGTGAGCCAAGATTGTGCCACTGCCCTCCAGCCTGGGCAACAGAGAAAGACTCTGCCTCAAAAATAGATAAATAAATAAATAAATAAATAAGAGGAAGTGAAATAATCAAGGCCACCATTTAATACTGAGTAGCCACTCCATGTGGTACTGTGCTAAGCACATTATAAAATATTAGCCTCACAAGAAATGTATTAGCATTTGTATTTTGCACACTGGTTAAGTATCTTGCCCAAGACCTCAAAACTGGTTAAGGGGCAGCAGAATGTAATCCCAGCACCACCTTTTCAAAGTCTGGGCTTCTTACACTTCTCCATGCTGTTCCCATTTTAAGAGACGTATCTCGCCATTCCAGCCACTCAAACTTTGGCATTTAAGAAAATTATCCTAAAGCTAAACTAAACTTCAAGGATGACTATTCTCCTGATGATCCCTTCCCATCAAAATTTTATCTTTAGTCAGTTTGTTTTTGTTTTGTTTTGTTTTTCAGAACTACCTCTGGCACCTCCTCCAAATGAAAGGACTCACTTGGTAATTCTGGGAGCCATCTTTTTACTCCTTGGTGTAGCACTGACATTTATCTTCTATTTAAGAAAAGGTAGTATTTCCTTAATTGCAGTGGTCTCCACTGGGGATGAGGAGGGGGTGAGAATTGGATCATGGCTGCAAGGAAACCTGACTTAACCTCTGTAGGGTGGTGCAAAGGCATTCCACTGTTCAACAGTAATTATATTGAAGCTGCATGGGATCATTGGGTGAAGATGAGGTGTAAGGGGTGAGGGACAGGAGAATGGGTAGGGATGGAGGTAGAAGATGCAGTGTCATACAGTTTTTATCTATCATGAAAATAACCACAGACTTACTGTAAAGAAGGAGCTAAAATGCCTGTCATTTTCAGTTGCATTTTAGTTTTGCAGTAGTTGCACCCAGCTGGTTTCTGGGTACTCTAAGTAATAAAAATAGTTCCTCTGTAGAACTGTAGTATTTTCACCATAGAGTATTTTGTAAAATTATTGGTAGAGGATGTTACATAATTTGCATGTGTTCCTTTCTCCATTTACCTGTGGGAACAATTAAAATCCAGGAAAATGAGTATATTCAAATAATTTCCTCCCATTTATGATGATTCAGAGTAAATAATTCCTCCGATACTTAGAGAAGTATACCAAGAGATCCAGTGATTGTATAGAGTTGTCTGATGTTAAATAGGGAAGTAGAATATGGAAGGGAATTCCAATAGTCGTTGAAAAATTCCCCACAACCCCTTACATGGGGGAAAGTGGTGTTAACTGAGAGAGTAGAGATAAGCTGTTACCAAAAATTATGTTCTTAACAGGATTGAGATAGCCAGAACATAAGGATCAAGTTTCAATGACAGTAAGATCCTGAGATGCAGTTGATTTGCACAAAGAAATAATTGTTGCCAGCTTGCATTTTGAATATTTCTCTGGAAAAAGAGATTAGTTGGCAGTAGAAATGAATAGAAATCAATAGATATTAAAATACCTCAGAATTTGGTTCATCTCTGGGAAAAGATGAAAAATAAAAGTGTATAGTCCTCAAGAAAATCTGGGATCAAAAGCATGTGCCTTACCCTATTGAATTAATTAACCTCAGAAGTTGGGAACTGTGGAATAAGGATGTCCACCAGACTTCCTAGGGATTACAAATGTTTCATAGAACTTGAAATTTAAACTTGGGTCACTGTATGGGATGTAGAGCTGTGCTATATGGAAATAAAAATGATTTCTTTTTCTCAAGGGAGAATGATGGATATGAAAAAATGTGGCATTCGAGTTACAAACTCAAAGAAGCAAAGTGGTAAGAATATCAGAAGGAACTGGGAAGTAGAAGGCAAAAGAAACAAAAAGCTAAAGCAATAACAAAGAGAAATCCATTAGTCATAATCTCCTTTCCTTTTAAAGAATGCTGGTTCCCCTTTGCCTCACAACTAATACAAGAACTTCTCCACCATCTCAGGAAGTTTAGGGATGACCTTCAAGAGTAGAGAGTAGGGAGCAGCTCTGTGGAGAGAGGAAAGGAGCAGGGAAGGGGAAGGAGTCAGCTTCCCTTTGCTAATCTGTTGCCCTGCACCCTAGCAGCTCCCTGCAGCAGGGGACAAGGTTGACTTAGGTGGATGGATACTTAATTCTAAAATATTGTGTGTCAGTATTGTAATACTATGTTAACTGCGCCATGCACGGTATCTCATTTAATCCCCCACCCCTTGCCATTACCAAAAAGAGAGAGAGAAAAATACTAGAATTATCCTCATTTTACAGTAGAGAAAACAGAGGGTCAAGAAGATAATGTAAAGTGCCCAAGAACACACAACTGATCACAAAAATCAAGCTTGGGGGGCCATTAGCCTAACCACAGACCCTTACTCTTAACCCATCTGCTTCAATCCATTTTGCTACAAATGTTTACATTTATAAGCAGGGCAGAAAAGTCTCATCCAGTTTATTGAACTAAGAAGACAGTTATATTAAGGTTTCTAATTTTTTTTAATGTAGTTAGAAACCAAACTTAACAATGAGCCCAAGTTTAAAGCAGTCTAATTAACTTGACAAGCTCAGGCAAGTTTCATTCTGTGGCCCATAGCATCATCTGTGTTGTAAAGCTAAGTAGCAAATGTTATTTGGGTCATCCTGGGGGAAAAGTCATCCCAATTTGCTCAGGACTGAGGGGTTTTTCAGGATATCATGTAAGGATAATTGGGTACAAATATAACCTGCTTCTTTCTCTCATTTCAAATTTCTCATTTATCATCTCAGCAACTATGAGTTATGTTTTTTATTAGATTTCTTGTTACTCTTTCCCCAGACCGCTCCCCATGAAATTAATATACTATTATCACTCTCCAGATACACAATTGGAGGAGACGTAATCCAGCATTGGAACTTCTGATCTTCAAGCAGGGATTCTCAGCCTGTGGTTTGGGGGTTCGTCAGGGCTGAGCATGACCAGAGGAATGAATGGGCCCGTGGGATGCATGCAGTATAGGACTTAAAAGGCCCAAGCACTGAAAATGGAACCTGGTGAAAGCAGAGGAGGAGAATGAAGATAAATGGAGTTGAACAGGGAGCCTGGAGGGAGACCTTGATACTTTCAAATGCCTGAGGGGCTCATCGGCGCATGTGACAAGGAGAAAGGATACTTCTGAACAAGGAGCCTCCAAGCAAATCATCCATTGCTCATCTTAGGAAAACGGGTTGAGAATCCCTAATTTGAGGGTCAGTTCCTGCAGAAGTGCCCTTTGCCTCCACTCAATGCCTCAATTTGTTTTCTGTGTGACTGACAGTCCCAGTGTTGGAACAGTATTTATGTATGAGATTTTCCTATTTATTTTGAGTCTGTGAGGTCTTCTTGTCATGGGAGTGTGGCTGTGAATGATTTCTTTTGAAGATATATTGTAGTAGATGTTACAATTTTGTCGCCAAACTAAACTTGATGCTTAATGACTTGCTCACATCTAGTAAAACATGGAGTATTTGTAAGGTGCTTGGTCTCCTCTATAAGTACACATTGGAAGCATAAAGATCAAACCGTTGATTTGTATAGGATGTCACCTTTATTTAACCCATTAATACTCTGATTGACTTAATCTTATTCTCAGACCTCAAGTGTCTGTGCAGTATCTGTTCCATTTAAATATCAGCTTTATAATTATGTGGTACCGTACACACATAATCTCCTTTCATCGCTGTAACCACCCTGTTGTGATAACCACTATTATTTTACCCATTGTACAGCTGAGGAAGCAAACAGATTAAGTAACTTGCCAAAACCAGTAAATAGCAGACCTCAGACTGCCACCCACTGTCCTTTCATAATACAATTTACAGCTATATTTTACTTTAAGCAATTCATTTATTCAAAACCCATTTATTAAGTGCCCTTGCAATATCAATCACTGTGCCAGGCATTGAATCTACAGATGTGAACAAGAGAAAGTACCTGTCCTCAAGGAGCTCGGAGTATAATGAGGAGATTAATAAGAAAATATATTATTACAATCTAGTCCAGTGTCATAGCATAAGGATGATGTGAGGAGAAAAGCCGAGCTGTGTTGCCAAGAGGAGGAAATAGGCCAATGGGTCTGGGACAGTTGAATGTACTTAAACATCTTAATAATCAAAGTAATTTTCATTTACAAAGAGAGGTCAGTACTTAAAATAACCCTGAAAAATAACACTGCAATTCCTTTTCTAGCATTATATTTATCCCTGATTTGCCTTTGCCATACAATCTAATGCTTATTTATATAGTGTCTGATATTGTTTAACAGTTCTGTCTTTTCTATTTAAATGCTATTAAATTTTAAATTCATACCTTTCCATGATTCAAAATTCAAAAGATCCCATGGGAGATGGTTTGAAAATCTCCACTTCATCCTCCAAGCCATTCAAGTTTCCTTTCCAGAAGCAACTGCTACTGCCTTTTATTCATATGTTCTTCTAAAGATAGTCTACATTTGGAAATGTATGTTAAAAGCATATATTTTTAAATTTTTTTCCCTAAATAGTAACACATTATATGTTTGCTGTGCACTTTGCTATTTTTATTTATTCTAGTGTTTCTTATGTAGCAGATGGAATGAATTTGAAGCTCCCAAGGGTCAGGACACATGCCTTCTTTGTTTCTAAGTTATCTTTCCCATAGCTTTTCATAATCTTTCATATGATTTAGTAAATGTTAAATATGTGCTACATACACATTTAGACAACCAGCATTTGTTAAGTATTTGCTCCAGGACTGAGTTTGGATTTGTTTATGTTTGCTCAAAAGGAGACCCATGGGCTCTCCAGGGTGCACTGAGTCAATCTAGTCCTAAAAAGCAATCTTATTATTAACTCTGTATGACAGAATCATATCTGGAACTTTTGTTTTCTGCTTTCTGTCAAGTATAAACTTCACTTTGATGCTGTACTTGCAAAATCACATTTTCTTTCTGGAAATTCCAGTAGTGTACCTTGACTACTAGTTACCCTGTGCCAGAAAAGCCTCATTCGTTGTGCTTGAACCCTTGAATGCCACCAGCTGTCATCACTACACAGGCCTCCTAAGAGGCTTCCTGGAGGTTTTGAGATTCAGATGCCCTGAGAGATCCCAGAGTTTCCTTTCCCTCTTGGCCACATTCTGGTGTCAGTGACAAGGAATACCTTCGCTTTGCCACTCATCAAGGTTGAAGAAACAGCATCTCCAACAGAGCTCCTTGTGTTATCTGTTTGTACATGTGCATTTGTACAGTAATTTCTGTGACAGTGTTCTTTGTGTGAATTACAGGCAAGAACTGTGGCTGAGCAAGGCACATAGTCTACTCAGTCTATTCCTAACTCCTCCTTGTGTTGTTGGATTTGTAAGGCACTTTATCCCTTTTGTCTCATGTTTCATCGTAAATGGTATAGGCAGAGATGATATCTAATTCTGCATTTGATTGTCACTTTTTGTACCGGCATTAATTTAATAAAATATCCTTATTTATTTTGTTACTTGGTACACCAGCATGTCCATTTTCTTGTTTATTTTGTGTTTCATAAAATGCTTAGTTTAACATCCTGGTGGAGAAAGTTACTTGGAATATTTGCAGCCTGCTTCCTAGTTCTTTCTTCATTGCTTCTGTGTTTATACACCATGTTTTTGAATCCTGCACAATGAAAAAAGTATCAAAAGAATTTATTTTAAAAAAGAATGTATTGAAAATTTTCATTCTCTCTCATTCAGCAGCTTCTCTTTGGACCATACCAAGAAGAGTCAAAATCCTGTCATCTACATTGAAGATCTAAGGGAGAGAGGGTGGGAGAGAAGGAGTGGAATTCAATAGAACTACAGGGAAACAAAGGGACTTACCTCTAAGAAAGTACTTTTCCCAGATCTGTAAACGGGTATGCAATCCAGTGCATATGAAGCTGGATGTATTGCAATCTTCAAGTTTTGAAAACAAAGCGAGAAGCCTAGAACTAAGCCAAGTTGAGGATTTAGGGCTAGCAATGGTTAGGACCATAGATCTGTGGTTTTAAAACAAGCATGACAAAACTTACCATTCAAGGAATTATAGACCTTTTAATGTGTTACCCGGTTAGATTTTAGTCAGAAATTCCGTTTTAAAAGTCTTTATCACTTGTTTGAATCAGATACTCTCAAAGGATTATAATGGCTATTCTAAGAATATGAGTTTGACTGTAGATGTTTTTGTTTGTTTGTTTTTGAGACAGAGTTTTGCTCTTGTCGCCCAGGCTGGAGTGCAATGGCACTATCTCAGCTCATTGCAACCTCCACATCCAGGTTCAAGTGATTCTCCTTCCTCAGGCCCTCGAGTAGCTGGGATTACAGGCACCTAACACCACTCCTGGCTAATTTTTGTATTTTAGTAGAGACAGGGTTTCACCATGTTGGCCAGGCTGGTCTCGAACTCCTGACCTCGGGAGATCCACCCACCTCAGCCTCCCAAAGTGCTGGGATTACAGGCATGAGCCACCGTGCCTGGCCTCTAGATGTTTTCAGTAGTAATGATGATGCATTATTTATGCTAGCCCTTGGGCAGTCAAAGCAATAAAAATGGGTGCTAGACATCAAGATATCCGGCCTTCCTAATCAGGAAAGAATGTGGAGAACTATTCTTCCTGGCTTGCCTTGGTGGTATGGAAATTTTATGACATTTGAGGGGTCTGTATTATAGAAAACTTAATATGAAAATGGTCCATAAGCTTTCATTAAACTTTTGCTCTAGTCCCTTTTACAAGTGTGTGACTGTCTGCCACAAGTAGGCCTAATATAATTTTTAAGTTTTATTTTATTTTTAATTGACACATAATTGACTTTTTTATTATTATACTTTAAGTTCTAGGGTACATGAGCACAATGTGCAGGTTTGTTACATACGTATACATGTGCCATGCTGGTGTGCTGTACCCATTAACTCATCATTTACATTACATATATCTCCGAATGCTATCCCCACCACCTCCCCCAACCCCATGACAGGCCCCAGTGTGTGACATTCCCCATCCTGTGTCCAAGTGTTCTCATTGTTCAATTCCCACCTATGAATGAGAATATGCAGTGTTTGGTTTTCTGTCCTTGCAATAGTTTGCTCAGAATGATGGTTTCCAGCTTCATCCATGTCCCTACAAAGGACATGAACTCATCCTTTTTTATGACTGCATAGTATTCCATGGTGTGTATGTGCCACATTTTCTTAATCTACTCTATCATTGATGGACATTTGGGTTGGTTCCAAGTCTTTGCTATTGTGAATAGTGTCACAATAAACATATGTGTGCATGTGTCTTTATAGCAGCATGACTTATAATTCTTAGGGTATATACCCAGTAATGGGATTGCTGGGTCAAATGGTATTTCTAGTTCTAGATCCTTGAGGAATCGCCACACTGTCTTCCACAATGCTTGAACTAATTTACAGTCCCACCAACAGTGTAAAAGTGTTCCTGTTTCTCCACATCCTCTCCAGCACCTGTTGTTTCCTGACTTTTTAATGATTGCCATTCTAACTAGTGTGAGACAGTATCTCACTGTGGTTTTGATTTGCATTTCTCTGATGGCCAGTGATGATGAACATTTTTTCATGTGTCTGTTGGCTGCATAAATGTCTTCTTTTGAGAAGCGTCTGTTCATATCCTTTGCCCACTTTTTGATGGGGTTGTTTGATTTGTTCTTGTAAATTTGTTTCAGTTCTTTGTAGATTCTGGATATTAGCCCTTTGTCAGATGGGTAGATTGAAAAAATTTTCTCCCATTCTGTAGGTTGCCTGTTCACTCTGATGGTAGTTTCTTTTGCTGTGCAGAAGCTCTTTAATTTAATTAGATCCCATTTGTCAATTTTGGCTTTTGTTGCCATTGCTTTTGGTGTTTTAGTCATGAAGTCCTTGCCCATGCCTATGCCCTGATTGGTATTGCCTAGGTTTTCTGCTAGGATTTTAATGGTTTTAGGTATAACATTTAAGTCTTTAATCCATCTTGAATTAATTTTTGTATAAGGTGTAAGGAAGGAATCCAGTTTCAGCTTTCTACTTATGGCTAGCCAGTTTTCCCAGCACCATTTATTAAATAGGGAATCCTTTCCCCATTTCTTGTTTCTGTCAGATTTGTCAAAGATCAGATGGTTGTAGATGTGTGGTATTATTTCTGAGGGCTCTGTTCTGTTCCATTGGTCTATATCTCTGTTTTGGTACCAGTACCATGCTGTTTTGGTTACTGTAGCCTTGTAGTATAGTTTGAAGTCAGGTAGCATGAGGCCTCCAGCTTTGTTCTTTTGACTTAGGATTGTCTTGGCAATACAGGCTCTTTTTTGGTTCCATATGAACTTTAAAGTAGTTTTTCCCATTCTGTGAAGAAAGTCATTGGTAGCTTGATGGGGATGGCACTGAATCTATAAATTACCTTGGGCAGTATGGCCATTTTCACGATATTGATTCTTCCTATCCATGAGCATGGAATGTTCTTCCATTTGTTTGTGTCCTCTTTTGTTTCGTTGAGCAGTGGTTTGTAGTTCTCCTTGAAGAAGTCCTTCACATCCCCTGTAAGTTGTATTCCTAGTTATTTTATTCTCTTTGAAGCAATTGTTAATGGGAGTTCAGTCATGATTTGGCTCTCTGTTTGTCTGTTGTTGGTGTATAGGAATGCTTGTGATTTTTGTCATTGATTTTGTATCCTGAGGCTTTGCTGAAGTTGCTTATCAGGTTAAGGAGATTTTGGGCTGAGACAATAGGGTTTTCTAAATATACAATTACGTCATCTGCAAACAGAGACAATTTGACTTCCTCTTTTCCTAATTGAATACCCTTTATTTCTTTCTCTCCTGCCTGATTGCCCTGGCCAGAACTTCCAACACTATGTTGAATAGGAGTGGTGAGAGAGGGCATCCCTGTCTTGTGCCAGTTTTCAAAGGGAATGCTTCCAGTTTTTGCCCATTCAGTATGATATTGGTTATGTGTTTGTCATAAATAGCTCTTATTGTTTTGAGATATGTCTCATCAATACCTAGTTTATGGAGAGTTTTTAGCATGAAGGGCTGTTGAATTTTGTCAAAGGCCTTTTCTGCATCTATTGAGATAATCATGTGGTTTTTGTTGTTGGTTCTGTTTGCTGGATTACGTTTATTGGTTGCATATGTTGAACAAGGCTTGCATCCAGTTTTGCCTATTTGGTATTATATTAGCTTGTGTTTGTCATAAATGACTCTTATTTTGAGATGCATCCCATCAATACCTACTTTATTGAGAGTTTTTAGCACTTGAAGAGATATTGAATTTTACTGTCGTCAAAGGCCTTTTCTGCATCTATTGAGATAATCATGTGGTTTTTGTCTTTGGTTCTGTTTATATGATGGATTACATTTATTGATTTGTATATGTTGAATCAGCCTTGCATTCCAGGGTTGAAGCCAACATGATCATGGTGGATAAGCTTTTTGATGTGCTGCTGGATTCAGTTTGCCAGTATTTTATTGAGGATTTTTGCATCGATGTTCATCAGGGATATTGGTCTAAAATTCTCTTTTTTTGTTGTGTATCTGCCAGGCTTTGGTATCAGGATGATGCTGGCCTCATAAAATGAGTTAGGGAGGATTCCCTCTTTCTCTATTGATTGAAATAGTTTCAGAAGGAATGGTACCAGCTCCTCTTTGTACCTCTAGTAGAATTCGGGTGTGAATCCATCTGGTCCTGGACTTTTTTTGGTTGGTAGGCTATTACTTATTGCCTCAATTTCAGAGCCTGTTATTGGTCTGTTTAGAGATTCAACTTCTCCTGGGTTAGTGTTGGGAGGGTGTATGTGTCCAGGACTTTATCCATTTCTTCTAGATTTTCTAGTTTATTTGCATAGAGGTGTTTATAGTATTCTCTGATGGTAGTTTGTATTTCTGTGGGATCAGTGGTGATATCCCCTTTATCATTTTTTATCACATCTCTTTGATTCTTCTCTCTTTTCTTCTTTGTTAGGCTTGCTAGTGGTCTATCACTATTGTTGATCTTTTCAGAAAACAAGCTCCTGGATTAACTGATTTTTTGAAGGGTTTTTTGTGTCTCTATCTCCTTCAGTTCTGCTCTGATCTTAGTTATTTCTTGCCTTCTGCTAGCTATTGAATGTGTTTGCTCTTGCTTCTCTAGTTCTTTTAATTGTGATGCTATGGTATCAATTTTAGATCTTTCCTGCTTTCTCTTGTGAGCATTTAGTGCTATAAATTTCCCTCTACACGCTGCTTTAAATGTGTCCCAGAGTTTCTGGTATGTTGTGTCTTTGTTCTCATTGGTTTCAAAGAACATCTTTATTTCTGCCTTCATTTCGTTGTTTATCCAGTAGTCATTCAGGAAAATGTTGTTCAGTTTCCATGTAGTTGAGTGGTTTTGAGTGAGTTTCTTAATCCTGAATTCTAGTTTGATTGCACTGTGATCTGAGAGACAGTTTGTTATTATTTCTGTTCTTTTACATTTGCCGAGGAGTGCTTTACTTCCAACTATGTGGTCAATTTTGGAATAAGTGCGATGTGATGCTGAGAAGAATGTATATTCTGTTGAGGTGGAGAGTTCTGTAGATG